AAGAGTGTTGTAGTAACAGAATTCTTTCAAGTATTTTCAACACAGCTGACAGAAAATACATGTGCTGAACTTTGTAAGCTGCCTTCAGCTTATATATAAATGAATGGGTTATGAGAATGACAGGTGCTGACAGGTACTTAGTTTTTCCAAACTAACCTGGTTGGCAACAACTGAAGGCAGGTCACAGCTACTACCTAGATCAGTAAGTCTAACGGATTAGTAGATGGAGCCATGCGACGCCTTCTTTGCTGGGAATAGAGGGACAGCACTGCTCTTCGTTCTTCATTGCACACACGTTGGGCTAGCGATTGTATACCATGTCACAGATACAAAAGCACCCGCGCTCCTTTGGAGCTTCCAAGACAAAGTGGGAAGGATGATGACACACAGTATGGGTAGCACACACTTAACAATATGCAGCAGGTACCTTAAAAATTATGACAGATATAAGCTCCTTTAACATACAGGATCATTTTAAAGCTGTGGAATCTGATATACAGTACATATGACAGGTATCTTGTCACATCCTTTTTTTTCATGTCTCTTGTCTTTTTTGACACTTTCTTGTTCTGTGTATATCTCTTTGGATTTCAGTTTGGAAATATGAGTAAATGAAACTGGGAGGAAGAAACCTAGGTAAAAACCCTTCTTATGAAACAAGTGTAACAACAAAAAGAAAGAGCTACCAGAATCCTATATCCTTCCAAGAGAATCAATCATCTAGAAACCAAGTCTTTGGCTTTTTCACAGTAACCTTCCAACAATTTTTCCAGGTATGACTAAGAAGGGGGTTAGGAGCATTTAATGCAGAAAGGTCTAGAAGGATATACACCAAGTTGCTGACATGAATTATTTCCAGAGGATGGAAATGGAAAGGGACAAATTACTAAATTTTTCTTTACACATCTTGAAATATTTAATTTGTTACATTAGGCACCTATCGCTTTTGTAATAAAAACATTGATAAGGAACATTGTTAAAGAAAAGTAACTACTTTGTTCACTTAAAAATCACTTAAGAGAGTGTATATAATGCATGTGGTCTGTCACATTAAAAAGAATGAGTAAGCTCACCAAAGACTAAAACTCCGAAGTCTAATTGTTAGTCTACAGCAGAAGTTTTATGAGGCAGAAGCATTAGGGTAGCCTCTGGGGTTTTCTAACGTTCCCCTGGCCTGAGCCCCTATCCTCCAGGGAGGCCCAGTGCACTCCCCCGTAATTAAATGAGGTAACGTGGTAATGACTGAGCACAGTGCCTGCCAACAGAGAGTACTCTACCTCACAAGGAGGTCCCACAAAATCAAGGTCTTTACATCGTGCTAGATGGGACGGCCTTTCCTCCTGGGATAAATAACATACATTGTTGAAAGCAGGGATGTAAGGTCTCCTCGAAAAGCCACATATCTCTCCCCTCTGACAGTTCCTGCCCTGACATCTGACAAGAGACCACTACCTCTAAACCTTTTCCCATAGCAAATCTGTCATGAAGTGGGGTGCTTCCCCCAATGGACCATGCTCTAGCTTTCCAAACTGCTAGAATCTTCAGGGTTTTTCAATGTTGGTACTATTGACATTTTGGGCCAAGTGATTCTTTGTCGTCGGGGATGGGGTGGTGGATGACCCTGTGCACTGTAGGATGTGTAGTGTCATCCCTGGTCTCCACCCACTAGATGCCAGTAGCATCCAACCCCCACAGTTGTGACAACAATGCCTCCAGACACTGCTAAGTGTCCCCTGCGGGGAAAACTGCCACCAGTTGAGAACCACTGTTATATATCAGTTCAGTTGTTCAGCCATCCCATGAGAACCTGGGACACTGATATCCATGTAACAACACCCCCCCACACACACAAAACCCCCGAAAAAGTTGAACTTCTGAACCTTTAAGAACCCTGTTCCCAGGAGCAGTGTAATGTTGCCAGTGAAAGTCAAGTTTTCAGAAGCATTTGTCTCACATTTTAGTGCAAACTTTCTCCCTTATTGGTGGCTACCAAAGGGCTACAGGCAAGGACAAGTTAAGTAGGTCAAGCCAGACCCTGCGGGGGTGAGAGCGGGGAAGAGGTGTTTAGCCAGCTGGTGTTCCCTGATGAACAAGAGTTCTAATCCATTCATGGGCATAAAATGAGCGAGACAGACTGGCAGATGATTGTCACTCAGTCCCCTGGCTTTAAATACCATCTATGGACTGATGACCCTACATTTTATATTTCCAATCCTCACCTTTCTCATGGCAGCCAGCCTCTTACAGTCAACTCCACTTGGGTATTTGATAGGCATCTGAAACTCAATACAGCCAAAATGGAACTGATTTTTCCTTCTAAACCGATCGTCCCCTAGTATTTCTCAGCCTAGTAAATGGCATCACCATACACCAAACTGCTCAAGCCAAAACTTAGAAGTCATCCTCAATTCTTCCATTCCTTTTTTTTTTTGTGGCACGCGGGCCTCTCACTGTTGTGGCCTCTCCCGTTGCGGAGCACAGGCTCAGTGGCCATGGCTCACGGGCCCAGCCGCTCCGCGGCATGTGGGATCTTCCCGGACCGGGGAACAAACCTGTGTCCCCTGCATTGGCAGGCGGACTCTCAACCACTGCGCCACCAGGGAAGCCCTCTTCTATTCCTCTTTC